AATACGGTTTGAAACTGCTTTTATGAAAATATATGGACAAAAAGATGTGAGACAATACGAAGATGGGAAATTAGTAAAGGTATCACAACTAAAGAAAAGCATAATCACAGATCAACGAAAGAAAGAAGGAAGTAAGGTCCAAGTATAGCTGAAGCAAAAATACAGAAATGAGGTTTAAAGATGGGAACTAATGTGGAGGAAATAGAAAGGAATACTAGATTAAAATAAGAAAAAGAGGAGGGTAAAAAACGAATAGAAAATAGATGGTTTAATAGTTTTAGAAAATTAATACAAAATAGTTGCAAGCCCTTTTGGTATGGTTTGTGTGGCTAACCTGGTATTAGCCTTCTGATTATGAAACAAATTTCAAATCAGTGCGGCAGACCGCTTCTGGGCACCCACAAGGTAGCTGGGAGATGTCAGGCCTAGATATTAAGCTCAACATTATATAATCTATTTATATAATAATCTTAATAAAGGATCACTGGCAAGGTTGCCAAAGATTAAAAAAAAAAATATATATATATATAAAAGGCAAAATAATAAAGAGCATAAATCTTTTTGTCTAGCAAAAAACTGAAGAACACAAGTTATATTTCCTACTGCAACTTGTCTTTGATTAGACTACAAGAAGATAGTTATCACCTGATAATAAATATACAATTATTTCATACAAAATGACTTTTCATCCTTTCATATAGATAGTAATGGCAATGTTCAACTACTATTTGGGCGAGCAGTAGAACGTTATCTGTATTTGCTTCCTATATTATAAAATATCTGTTATAAAGTCCAAAGCCGAAAACGAGTAAATGAAGCAATAAAACAAGGACTTGTGATAGTTGAGCGTGTAGAAGGTTTTGTTAACTATCTTGGATAGAAGATTAAAAAAGATAAAAGTAAATCAACAAACCATCTTGATGATTTTTTATGACTTACTAAAAATGGAAAATACCAAGTTTAACAAATATATGCAGGAAATGAATATGATATTAATGTTTGACGATGGACCTGGTTTTGTTCTGGTGAAGGCTGCTGCCAAAGATCATGAAGTGGGAATAGAAACATGTAATTACTATTCAGATTAACATAACCTCAAGAATCCTTTTAATATGCACAAATGTAGTGTATGAATTCTTACAGAGGTTATGCTTTTTGAGGTTGAAATGAAATTTCCTATATGCATATCTATTAAAGGTAATCATATTTCACTAAATATTATTTGAGAAACAACTGCATTATCTCGAATTAATTTAAGTAGAGAAGCACATGATCTTGCAATTACAAGCCATCAAGCAGATAAGCGAACAACAAAAGAAATAAAAATGAAACTTCTCGCACCACATAATGGTAATTTACAAAATGAACTTAAACATTTGTATAGTGGTCAAAATTCAATATGTGATAACATAAAGCTTCGTCAACTTATTGAAAGAGACAGTTTATATGCAAGAAAAAATGTAGGTCCCTGGACAATTGTGCATGAATTGGTAACTGGTATATTAAAACAAAAGAGTGCTATATTATACTACTAGCAAACTGATATGAATGTACCTAAAAACAATTCAGATCATTATTATTAACTTATCTTAAGCGATGATTTATGGCTTCAGCAGGCACGTGACTTTGGCTCATTTTGCTTCGGCATTGATGAAAAGTATAACTTAAACAGTGATGGTGCACCAATTTTATCTTTAATAGTTAAGGATAATGCAGGTTACAGAACTCCAATTGCATTTGAACTATCAAATAAAGAAAATAACCATATGATTAGACTTGCCATAGAAGCTGTTCAGCGAAATATTCTGTGTAATGAAATTGATTGCATGCATGCATGAATATTAATATATTGAGTTACCAAATAGAAAGAATTTATGAGAGCCCGGCAGTATGCACAACAATGGCAGCTATTTGTAATGATTGATAAGCATCAACTGACAAAACAGGGTCTTCAGCCTATTCTTCGTGGTGTAATTTTATGTTGTTTTTACATAATGCAAACATTTAGTGAACACTTTAAAACTTAAGAATTGATGATCGTTTCTGTTACTCAATTGCTATAGCTTTCAAAATAGTAGACTGAAGCCAAAGTATAGATGAAGCCTTAAAACTTGGAGAAGCTTATCAGCTTTTTATTAAATCTTTACCACTTACAAAAGTCACAAAAGATTTTTTGTGTAATGATTTATTTTCAAATTGGTTGTCTGATGAATGGATTAATTGCTTTATTGATGGTGGTCGAATGCCATCTGCAAATAATTTACCGAATGTTAAACCTATGATTACAAACAATCTCACAGAGTAAATGAATAAGTCAGTTGAAGGTCAGTGTGTAGGTACTCAGCCAGTTAACTGTTTTATTGAAAGGTTATATGGTGTTACTTTAACACAGGACAATATTATTAAAGAAACTTCTTCACAGTTGATATTTGAAGCTAGTCAAGTAACATATTGAAATTCGCGAATTATAGAGCATCAGACATTATCATTTAAGCAACCAATTGATATGAAGTGACGATTGAACCAAGGACGTCTTTATATTATACTTCACTCAGTCAAACCTGTGGTTGAAGGATCAGATACATACTTTTATATAAAAAGGGAAATGGTGAATTTAGATTGCTATATACTATGTGAAGAATTAGTATTGATGACAAATCAAGCAAATTACTTCAGCCAATGTTAAATGAACTTGCATCTAAACATCCTGTTGTACAACAAAAAGATTACTATCTTAACAATATTTTTACAAGAGAATGTACGTACTTAGATTTTATATAGAATAGCTTCTTTTGAGATGTATATAAGCATATCTATGCAGCATGGTTGTTTAACAAGGTTGAAGATAATGAAATTATACTGAATATTATTAAGAGTGATCTTATGCAATATTTTTGCAATAAAGAGCGTGCAATGTCAAAAGAGCAAAAGAATCATATTATATATAGTGGTTCAACTGATGCTGCATTGAAAGAAATTCTTCATATTTATTCAATACAGGGTAATGATATTTTCTATTCATATGAACGTGGAACTACAGAAAGAGACCTATTTCGACCTGCTGAAATGCATTTTAAATATCGGTACTTCTAAAATTCATGGTGCAAAGCCCCGAAAATCGACCGGTTTTGCAAATATAATATCTAATAACAATAAAGAGGTATGTACATATATGTCAAATAAATTACATGCATTTTATGATTTATAAAAATATTGCTTTTTGTAGAATGTTGACAATAACGATAGCAATAATGATTCAATGCTACTTGATGATGAATTAGAATCATCAGCTGCATTTGAATTAGACCAAACCTCATTAGGTAATCTGAAAGAACAATCAAATTTATTGTCTCTGTCAATTCAAAAATGAAGAACAGTTGCGATTCGTAATCGCAAATGTAGTGTTTCAAAAAGATAGGTAATATAATTATTTAAAAAAATGAGTATTATATTTATATGTGCTATATAGGTATTAATTATAAACTTTTAATATGTAGTCTGTTCAATATGAAGATAATGTTAATGCAATGTTATCCAACAAAAATATTATATGATCCAAACTTGAAAGGCTTTTTGAAAAGAAGCAAACTGATTGGAAGCGATGCGACTTTGTAAAATCTTGCCTTAAACAAGATATTCGTTTAAGTGATGATGCTGAGCAAAATAAAAAAAAATTTATTTACATAGTTTGACAGCAAAAAAAATAAGACAAAGCAAATGGTCTAGATTAGCATCAAATGAAAACTTGTAAAGATTCTAAAACATATTATATCTTAATATATTATGTGCATACAATAAATTATACATAGTACAGATAATGTATGTATACGTAGCGATAAGATTATAGTACATATAATTTTATGCATGCGATTATAATAAATAATATATAAATTTTACAGTGTATGACAATGTGATTATTTTATACTATGTGGGTCAAAAACGATGTTTTTTTTTTTTTTTTTTAGGGTGGGTCAATAAGAATGGGTCAATTGGTTAAAAACAATGTTTTTGCCCCAATTGTGCCAATTATTCTATTTTTGCCATTTAAATTTTTTCAAAAAATTAATCCGGTATTACCCGACAGTGACCTTATTTTCCGAAAGTATCCGATAGAACTGACAGAAAAAAAATTCGACTGCCAACCCAATTTCTGATTCCATGTTATAAAAAGCGAAAAATAACCTTTTATGACCTTAGATGTGAACATGAGCCCATTAATTCATTGTAGATTAAAAAAAAAATCCGACCGACCGACCGGGAATTTTGATATCCATGTAATGCAAACCGACAAATTAACTTTGCGTGGCCTTAGCGTAAGGCCATATAAAGTTAATTTTTTGGTTCTCATACAATTTTTTAAAAAAGTGACCAACACTCGGCTTTTAATTTTATTTCAAATAACATAAAAATTTTTATTTTATTTTATTTATTTTTTTAAAAAAAGAACTTAAAATTTTTTCTGAAGTTTAGCAAAATTTGACCCGGCCAGGTTATGAGAACCAAAAAATTAACTTACTTGCCTAAATCAAAAAATATTTTTAATAAAATCTATTTTAAAAAAAGTGCATAAATAGTATATAATCTTAAGTTTCATTTTCAGCAGCCTTTGCTTCTCGTTTTTGTCCTAATTTTTTCATCCATCCGAGATAAATTAGGGTAAATAAAATTAGACAACCCAACCAACTATGAATAACAATATTTCCAATATAAACAGCTCCATCAACCGTTTTTGTATTGTAAATAATAAAAATGCGGACAGGAACTTCAAAAAGTAAACCAAAACCCCAAATAGCGGTCATGACGATAAATGCTTGTCGAAATAAGGCATAAGATTTCCAATATCTCTCATATCGTTCAGAAATAGGCTCATCTTCAGTTAAACCTTTAAGATTACCAAGTTCAAAATTCCTAATACTATAATATATTATGGGACGCATTTGGAAGGTGCCGATTTTTATCGGAATTAAAGTGAAAATAAATATTAAACCAAATACACCAGCGATAAATGATTCTCGTAATAAGAATAACTTTGGATCATCTTGAGACAAAGATAATATAGTTCCAGAAACGAAACCGACTAAAATGAGTATTCCTGAGACGTTGGCTTGTTTGCGAATGATAAAATTAAGGATAACAGAAACAATAGGTGGGATACCTGATATGACTAATGCCCAAATAGTGGGCATATATTTTGAAAGAATAAAATATAGGAGGATTGGTAAACCGATATCAACAAATATCAGTAATAAAGGAAACAATATTTTTATCTTATTTCTTTTATTTTTTGGGGCTGAATTAGTTTTGAGTGTTGAAGGCGCTAATGGCTCTGATGTAGATGAAGGAACTGGGGGTTCTACTGCCGATGAAGAAGTCGAGTCCCTCAATGGTCGAGCTACATGATCCTCGTTATCTGTTCTGTTTGATCCTGACATCCTATATTTTTTATTTTTTCTAAAAGAGAAGAGTATAATTAAGAAATTTTGGGTTGCCAATTCGACGCCATTAACCTTAAGTTTAAATAGTCTGAAACGCTAAACAACCGGCATTCTGTCCATTTGGCATGGAGAACCCTAACAACTAGTCGTACGTCCATATTCCATTGTAATACATACTTTGGGAAAAGATGGACAAATGATCCAACTGTATATACGTACGAATACAAAAGATCTTTTTTAGAATAATGCTATTTTTGGTATGGTTCGAGAAAATTTCTAAAAATATTTGTTTCGCAATAATTACTATTTTTAACAGCGCCGGAACATAGGATAGATTATTCGTGCACGCGATTTTCAGAGATCAATTGGCCAATTAGAAATCATGAACTAATGAAACATAAAAAAATTCAAATCAAACATTCGCTTTGCATAATCACGTTAACCGGCTTTGAGTTCTAATAAAAAATTCCTCGCGCAATTTACTATTAGGAAACTCTTTCTAGCCCTAAATTCGCCCGAACCCTAACATAAATGTGCCTTTTGTTCGAAAACTCCCGGAGAATAGTAGCAACTTGATGCATTTAGAATAGGAGAACGCCAACGTCAGGGATGGTAAAGGACTTGAAATGACTGGTTATCGGTCATTTCGAATGTCTAGATGACTGAGAAAGGACCAGTATTACTACCTTTTTTCAAATATCCTTATTTGGGTGTTTTATATAAATCAACCAATCAAATTGAATGATCTACATAAATTGACCAATCAAATTTTACGAGACAAAGAAAAAAGAAACGAGAGTCTAAACCTCTCTTGGAAAACTAATAAAAAAAATTGCCGGGAGAACAATTTTACCTATAACTCTTGCCCAATCCCTAACTCTGACTTAATTTTAGTTGCTTCGGTTTAACTCTTTCCAAATAAGGAAAATTAAAAACTGGTTCGATGATATTAATGCTGAGATCATTTACATACGTTAATTGAGCATGTGCAGGGGAGAACGTCCCAAATATTGAGATAGCCTAACGCTAAGTCAGGTAGCTTTTAAATTGATTACTAATTGACTTGTAAAGTAAAGTCACGACGCATAAAATACTACGAGGCTTAGGAGACCTCTATATATAAATATGGAAATTGTTCCGATGTGGTTACACGATTGATTGACAATCTTTTTACGTACAGTATAATGTTTATAGTACTTTTTGTTTGAGATCATCACGTGTTATGAAACGAAATAAAAAATTTGTAAACTTTGTGGCTTTCGTATCGTACTTTAATAATATCTGGTTAATCCAATTTAATCCCACAGCTCTTATATTACGATTTCCTTTACTAGATAAATATAGAATAAATTGTAATATAAAAGCTGTGGGATTAAATGGGATTAACCAGATATTATTAAAGTACGATACAAAAGTCACAATGTTTGCTAAATTTTTTATTTCGCTTCCCCTATAAAAAATTTTTTACAGATATATTCCTATTTTGTTCCGAACTAGTCGAACCCATCCAGATCATATTCCGAACTGAAATTTGCATAATATAAATTAATGTATCGATATTGATATTGCTCCGGAAATGTTCCTAAGTTTTTTTTAAAAAAAAATTATAAAAAAAATGAAATTTTGAGCGTTCAGAAAATATTCCGGTTTGGAACTTTATTATTCAGCGCTATTAAGTTAAAGTTATGAGAGCTATTTACATATCACGGTCGATAACATACCCTCGTGTAACGTATGATCACACCGGAGGATCATTACGTAAGAAATTTTTTTCATTTTTTTTCTTTCCTTTTCTTTTGTTTCTTTTTCTTTTTTTCATTCTTTTTCATTCTTTGCTCCTTTTTTTTTCTTGCGTTTTTTTTTCTTTTTCTTTGTTTCTTTTTTTTCCTTCATTCATTTTCTTTTCCTTTGTTCTTTTTCTTTTCCCTTGTTCCTTTTTTTTCCTTCATCCTTTTTTTTTCCTTTGTCTCTTTTCCTTTCCTTCGTTCCTTTTCTTTTTCTTCATTCCTTACTTTTCTTTCGTTTCTTTTCTTTTCTCTCATTTCTTTTTCTTCATCCCTTTTCTTTTATCACTTTTCTTTCACCCTTTATCTTTGTTCCTTTCTTTTCTTTTTTTCTTTTCTATCATTTCTTTTCTTTTTTTTTGTTCTTTCTTTTGTTCCTTTTTTTTCATCTCTTTTTTTTATCCCTTTTCTTTTCTTTTGCTCTTTTTCTTTTGTTTCTTTTGTTCTTTTGTATTCTTTCATTCTCTTTATTTTCTTTCATTTATTTCTTTCATCTCTTTTATTCTTTTTCTTTTGTTTCTTTTTTCTTTTCATTTCTTCCTTTGTTTCTTTTTTTATTCTTATTTTCTTTGTTGTTTTCTTTATCTTGATTACTAATATTGTTTTTTATAGATTTTTCTATAATCTCTACAGTATGTGTGTTGAGATTACCATAGTTGGAGAATCATTGGTGTGAATTTCATACTTTTTGCACCTTGTTATTTTGAAGTTGCCATTGTTGGGAAATCACCAGTAGGTTTTGTTTTTTGTACTATGTTATGTTAAAGTCACACTATAGTTAGGCTGTATTATATTGGAGTCACAATAATTATTGTAATTGCTGGTCTAGATTTACTATTTTTATATCATATTGTCTTTTCTGTAATATTATCATTTCATGTAATATTGCATCATTATTAGATAAATAGTTAGGATTAGGATTAGAATAATTAGATAGCATGAATATAATATGAAATAATTCAATTTTTTTAAATATATTTAATTCTGATTATTATCAGATTTTTTAAAAATATCAGATTAGTTCTAAAATATGATGATAAATAAAGTTTTTGTAAATGCTCATTTTCTGAAACATTTTTGGAACATTCAGATCAAAAAAATTTTCTGAAATAAAAATTTTGAATATTTTCAAAAGGATTTTGTAAAATACCGCCATAGCATGTATTGCTACTCCTGATCAACCAATTAGAATGCAGAATCAGGTGTAATGTGAAATCGAAGCAATTATGGGTTTTTTCAAAAATTGTCTATAATGCGAAATTTTGCGTATGAAACCATCTTTTGCACTCTAACAAAAAAAATTCATTATGATATTTTGGGTTAGAAACTCTTTACTAAACCATGCTACCCTAACTCTCACCCTAACTCTAAACTAACAAATTGATTTATTGTTTTGATTTCACATTACACCAGATCTTATTAGCATGCGATTATCGCTATGACAGTATTTTACTTAATTCTTTTCAAAAAATAATAATAATAATTTTTTATAGGATTCATAATATATAAGGCAGCTGTGTGATACTATCGCACTCAAAAACCAGAAACATAAACAAAAATATACTAAGAACAAAGTAATATTCAAAATTTTACAAAATGTACTTAGTAAACTAAGCTGTTAGGGAAGTGTTATTTATTACCTGATTATTTTAGAATGGGGTTCCCTAACAAAGTATCATGTATATTGATATACGATTAATCAGTTTTATTATTGTTAGAAATGAATGTAGTGAAAATGATTGGAACCCATAAATTTATCATATAAGGGAGGGGGAATATTTACTATTTACAAAAAATCAGATAATAAATGATACTTCTCTTAGTAAAGTAATTAGTGAGATAATATGGATTACTTATTGTGGTTTGCAAAATTAAAAAGCATATCATTGAAGTGATAGGGTGATCATTATTGTGAAATCAGATGACTCTTTTGATTATATATTCAATTTGTCATTTTATCTTTATAAGTTTTTGTGTATAATGCATATTGTATCTTGTTAGATGCAGATATTTTTCTGATTAATATTGTAATTGCATATGATTGTGAAAGATATAAGTTACTTTGATTGGCAAGATTTTTTTCTGGGAGTATTTAAGAGCTTAGTAGAGATTGTTATCTTTCTTTTTGTCATTGCTCACCTTGTAATAAAGATTGGCTTTGTCATCCCACTCCATCTATCCTTCTTTAGGTAACTTATTGACTAAGAACACTGCAAGAGCCTTAAGTTTGGTAATTAGATATTATAGTTTTGATATCAATGCAAGATTCTTATATTTGTGATAAGGTTCTGTGAATACAAAGAACCAAATATTGACAATTAGTATAAGAACCTTATGTTGGTAATTGGGCATTGCAGCTGTAATAGCAGTACAAAATCTCATTTTTGCAATTAAGTTTTGTGGCTGCAATAATATTGCAAGGACCTTATATTAGAATTTAGACACAATAGTAGTAAGATTCATAATTAACTGCTATAATAGCAATATAAAAACCAATATTTGATAATTTAATTTCTATAGATGCAATAGCAATACAAGAATCTCATACTAAAGATTTGGCCTCATAGCTACAATAGTAGTACAATGCTTATGTTTGCAATTAGGTTCTGCAGTTACAATTGCAATATAAGAACCTTATGTTAGATAATTAGACCTTGTCACTATAATATCAATGCAAAGATATTGAGAATAGATACTATAGTTCAATAATATTTCAAGTCTTGTGTTTAATAATTAGACTCCACAAATGATAGTAGCACAGAGACTTTATATATGTTAATTAGACTCTATAGTTGCAATAGTATTGCTATGATCCTATATTGTGATTAACTTCATGGCTACAGTGGCAATGCATTGACCTTATATTTAATAATTAGTCTCTATAGCTGCAATAGTACTGCAAAGACCTTATATTAATAATTGGCTCTGCAGCTGTAATAGTGATGCAAGTAATTTTATATTGTAATTAAGCTCAATACAAATACAGGAATCTTATATAGGGTTTAGGCTCTATAGCTAAATTTCAAATTTGGTTATTAGACAAGAACCTTATAATATTGATTAAGCTCTGTGGCTATAGTAATAGTATAAAAACCTTATATATAGTAATTAGATTTTATTACTGCATTAGTAATACAAGCACACATAATCAAACATAGTAGCTATAGTAGTGGCTTAATAATCTTATTTTTTTATATTGAGATTAAGCTTTACAGTTGTTATAGCAATGTAAAAATCTTATGTTAATTGGGTTCTATAGCTGCAATAGCAGTGCAAGGACCTCATAATTAGGCTCTGTGACTGTGATATTAGTGCAAGAACCTCTTGCTGTAATTAAGCTTCTTGGAAACAGTAATAAGCAAGAGCCCCATATTTGAGATTAAGTTCTGTAACTGCAAAAGCAGTACAAGAACCTTGTAGATTTTGCAGCTTTGATAGCAATGCAGAGACTTTATATTGTAAATATGCTTTATAGCTACAATAATAGTGCAAGGGCCTCATATTTATTGATTAAGCTTTATGCTACAATAGCATACAAGAACCTTATATTATGTTTCGTCTCTATACTGTGATAGCAGTGCAAAGACTTTATATTGTGATTAGGCTCCAAAACTCTGATAGCAACACATAAACCTCATATTGTGATATGGTTCTACAGCTACAGTAGTAGTGCAAGGACCTCATGTAATAATTAAGCTTCACGGCTGCAATGGAAGTGCAAGAACCTCATATTATGTTTAGGCTTTGCAGTAGCAGTACAAGGACCTAATATTATAATTAAGCTTTGCAGCACACAGATCTCAAATTGTGATTAAACTCCATAGCTATAGTAGTAGTGCAAAAACCTCATATTTAATAATTAAACTCTGCAATTGCAATTGCAGTGCAAAAACTTTAGATTATATTTAGGCTTCATAGTAGTAATAGCTTTGCAAGAACCTTATGTTGTGATTAAACTCTACAGCTGCAATAGCAGTGCAAGAACTTCAAATTGTAATTGGGCTTTGTGGCTAAGTAGTAGTACAAGAACCTCATATTTAATAATTAAGCTCTGTGGCTGCAATCTCTGTGCAAGAACTTTATATTATATTTAGGCTCTGCAATTGCAATAGCAGTGCAATAGTCTTATTTGGTAGGCCCTATAGCTGCAAAAGCAATACAAGTGCCTATAGGTAGGTAATAATATTCATATTACTACATAATGCTAATTAACCAATTTTATGTGGTCTACTTGGCTGCATTTCTCTATGTGAAAATACAATAGATTATAAGAAGTATTTCTATATACTAATATGCTCTTACAAGAACACTATACTATTTCCATCCCAGATTAAGAGAAGAAAAAGCATTTGCATTCTACAAGACAATGACTTCTCTAAGTTTTTCTGATAATTACTTTGGACCAGAAGAAGCAAAGTCATTGAAAAATATATTTATGAAATTTTTAGTGATAATTTTGTATTTCTGTGGCTTTGCTAATAACAATAACAAATTTAGAAGGTGAATAGAAGTTTTAATGTTTAATATAAAATATATCGAACAAATTTGATAACCTAGTAACCTTAATGATGATAGCAATTTCTGTTTGTTGAGCCAGCCACATACTATATGTTGGAACATTTCGATTGGTCAATAGTGTGACAAATGACCGTATTGTAAAAAATTGCTTATTTCTTAAAAAATTGCATATAAAACTACTCTTCAGCACACTAACAAAAAGTTTTCCTTGAGTAATTTTACTATATGCTGCATAACTTCTAACCACAGTAAACTTTACTAAAAGAACTTTGAAGAATTTTGACTGCGCCATAAACCTGGCACACATTCAAGTATCGCATCAAAACTTACCAATGATGAAAACCCGTGGTTCACTTAATATTAGGCCACGCA